TTAGCGAACGCGCAGTCGAAAGGTCGATGCAAGGAGTATACCGTATCTCGCAAAGGATCCGAAGTTCTGACCTACGTCAACGATCGAAAATCAGGAACGCCGTTCTACACGCCAGGATAATGAAAATAGGGTGGGCCGGGCACGTGATGCGTTTCAACGACAACCGATGGACAAGAACAGTTACCGACTGGATTCCTCGGGACGCCAAGCGCTTCAAAAGAAGTCCACCGATCCGTTGGACCGATTTTTTCACGAAAGCGATAGAAGAAAGATATGATGCTCAACGAATCCCTAGAGCAAGGAGGACACACCGGGCTACTCTTGCACGCGACAGGGAAAAATGGAAGAGTTGCTGGTACCCGCTCGAGTCGCTCGACGATTAACGGGACGACAGGTGACAGGCTGATATTTGACGACTACCAGCCAAGAACAATCGAGTGTACAACACTGTTCGTTCGGTGATTCTTTCACTTGATGGCGCATGTAAATACTACGGCGTTAATTTCTCCTAACAGGGGATATCTCGCCGTAGAACTGACTGAACCGTAAGGCACTGTGCAACTAACGGGGCTTAAAGGCCGAAACACGTGTACTGAACTGTGTAAGTGCCCGTAATAGAGCACATGCATGGCCCAGAAGTAATTGTCAGGTATACTGAAATTTATCGTGGAACAAGGGGAGTGATAAGCGTCAGATGAGCAAATTGTGCCTACCTGTCGATAATGTCAATAATGAACGCTTAAACCTAGGTTTTCTTTTACCCTAAACTCTAACCCTCCCTGAAAACGTTGAAGAAATCGCTTCCACGAAGTAGGACTATTGCACTGGTCACAGTGACCATCATTCTTTAGCACTTTAACACTTTACTTGATCCGTCATCACAGTGTTGAGTGGAGACAGCGGAAAGAGTTGAGTGGCGGAGCTCGGCTCCACGCGCGCCGTGACGAGCATCACAACCACTCGGCCACGGCGCTCCGCCTATTTGTCTACGAAAAGAAAATCAAAAACGTATAGCTTATTTTTACAGAGTTCAAGTAGAATCCATGTTGAGAGTCTCCAGCAGAACACTACGCAATTTTCTAAACAGAACACGACAACGGGCTTTTCAAACCAAATGTCGTGACAGAAAATAGAGTCTTGAAAGCTTGTCAGCATTAAATCCTCCATCTTCAAATATAACTGTTCTATTTACAGGTTAGGGTGCTCCTTTAAATTATTCGACGACAAGTTTTGGGTATACTGGAATTAAGAAGATGATTACACTCATACAAAGAAAGGCAAACAAAACCTTCTTGCCCGCTGCAGCTGAGAAAATCTTCTTTTTCCTGATTTCTTCGTTTTGCCCGGAACACCACTGCCAAGAGTACTCTTCCGCTTGCAGTGAACCATATGTCAATCCGTGTTCGTCGGGATGATACTGCAAGACGGATAATAGTCCTTTGTCACCGAAGAATTCGTAATGTAACTCACTATTTCATTCGATCCCAGTACTTCGGGATCGATCTCATATTGCGGTTTTCACTTAGGTGAAGGGATTGATCCCTCTGCAAGAAGAGGATCCAAATTTCGGGAAGCATAATGAGCACTCCGAAGATAATCGTCAATACTGAAGTCAACTGTTCAACAACTGAGTATGAACAAAAAGTGATAGGTTGGGGAAAAGTTCTGAGAACATGCTTGTAACTTTTTTGAGTGCCGGCCATTTTTCGTGTTTTTGGGCTCATTTGAAGGCTCGTTTCTCCCGCGTTGATTGGTATTAATTTATCTACTTATTTGATGATTTAGTTAACAAGCGAGCAAATTAGGGTTGTTGATTATGCAGAAATAGATGTTTGGTTTAAATGCAACGGTGGAATTGAACGCATCAATCTGGCTTGGGGCGAAGAAACAGTTGGCAAAAGTACGGTGTACAAGTGGTTCAAAAAGTTTGACGATAGTGAAGAAAGTTTGGAAGATCAGCCGCGTTCAGGTCGTTCAAAAGAAGTTGATCGTTAAGCTGTGCTTGAAGCAACTGAAGAAAAGCTCTCTTTGACAACTCAGTCATTCATTTCTTTAACAGCAAGAAATCGGAAGTTTACGCTCGCGGAATCGATCTCTTGCCGGAGAAGTTGCAAGAAGTGCTTGAAGTTGAAGGGGGATACTCTGACTATTAGTTTTGTCTTTGTTTGGGTGTAATAGGGGCATAAATTGATGTTTTACAAGCATTTTCGCAGTACTTTCTTCCCAACCTAATAAAATGTCTAAACAAAAAGAAAACTTGACATTGGCTTACACTCGTTGCGTGAGAGGTAAGGCATTAGCTACCAAAGGCGAGTCATCGTAGACACTCATGAAGTGCGACGCTTGAAGTGCCTGCAGCAGATCTTTGCCTCTTTCTCGAAATGCCTACAAGCTTCAAAGTAAGTCAACTCAACCCGTAAATAAAGTGCTGAACACAGTGCGACGAAGGGAAGTGCCCACTCAAGAAAAACAAAAAAAATTATGGATTCTACGTGCCTTATCTTCCTTTTGAGACTCTTTTGTCTGTTTCTGAGCCTTGGCTGGTCTGCTGTACGCCTCGATTATTTCATTCTCGCCGATATGACTATAAAACTCTTCACTCGTCTGTCTGACGACTTCTTCTTAAAGTTTTTCCTTTGGAAACCTGCAACAGTGGGCCCTATTCAGGCACAAAAAAAATCAAATAAAGATTCATAGAGCAGATTTGTAGGGATCTTCGTATGATAATTAGTAAACTGGTGTCCAACGCGTCCTTCTTCAGTGAAACAGTTGAGTGAGGAAGAATGTGGGAAGGAAATGGAAAGAAATAAATGGGCGTTAATGGGAAGAAAAGTTGTTCAGTAGAAACTGGGAGCTGAAAATTAAACATTTCGTTCTCTTACCTTTCTCAGATTCCAATCTTCCCAGCGTAGCGAAGAGCTGCAGCCATAGATCTCAAATATTTCAGGTCGGATCGCCTGGAATCGGACCTGAAGATATATCAGTGAGAGAATTCAGCTTCCTCAGGAAATAATCTGGATATCTAAGTTCGGTCACTGCATATAATGTTACATTTTGGCCTTTTTAACCATCGATCCCGACAGCAAAAGAAGAACGATATAAAAGGATTTGGCTCTCAGCCGCTACACTGTAGTGAAACTATTTTTCCAGAAGATAAGCACAACGTTGAAATTAGCGAAACGTACGCTATTGAGTGTTACTTATTTTCTAAAGCAGGAGCTCTGTCCTTCGAAAAAAAACGCGTGTGTGAAACACAAATGTTCTCTTCTTAGCGCAGCGTTATAAAAAGCCTTCCAAAAAAAGGTCACAAAGCGCACTATCCGGATATTCAAGCTTTCGAATGAATGCTTAAACTGCAATGGAAAGTTTTCGGTCGGCGAAGTAATCATTTTTTCATTTGTTGCCGTCTAACACAAAAGAACCACTAATCCTATTATACCTGAGGTAGGCAAAGAAAGGCATATCAAAATTAGACTTTGATAACCGTTCAACAAATAGACACCACCGTAGATGATTTTAAAATTTGTAAGCATTTTGATCTTAGAAAGGGATTTAATAAGAATGATAGAGAAATCAAGTTGTCGAAAACATAAGACTGACCTGTACCTTAGAGAATAATTAAGATTCAGCAGGATTCCCCTGAGCCAATGACCAGTTTTAGATCATGTGATAGGGGCTGACGATCGCTTGCAGTGTACTGCAGACACTTCGCAGCTTTCATTCGGACATTTCACCGAGAATTGATGCTCTTGACACTGGAATCGGGGATCACCTTTCTCTTCTCGATACCTTCGACCTTTGCGACACAGGATTTCCGTCCATGACAGTCGCTGGGAGTTCTCCACGCTTATCAGCATAAGGAGATGATTTTCAGTCTTCGCTTGCTATGACTTGTGTAAGGTGGCACAGAAGGCGAAGCATCTTGTTTCCGACGAGTAGTCAGGTCCTGCGGCATTATTAGTGAGTGAAATGAAATGAATTTATTTGTAATGACTTTTCGACTCGTTTACAAATAGGTGGGTGATTAACTATGGAAGGCTCCTTGCCTCCAGTGGGAATCAAACGGCTCCCTTGCCTCTAGTGGAGAATCAAACGGCTCCCTTGCCTCCAGTGGAGAATCAAACGGCTCCCTTGCCTCCAGTGGAGAATCAAACATAACATATTTTGGTGCGTTCGCCGACGGGCTCAACATCTCGAGTCACAGCATCATGATCAACAACAGGTGCAAGAGCAATATTCAGCACGTGCGAAAATAACAGATGATTGTTGTGGCAGATACTGACACGCAACTGCCCGCGAAGGATGATGGTAGACGAATATGGCACATTCAAAAATATCCGCCGCGGTGAACACGAGGCAGCGCGCGCTGGCGAGGCCGCGGCACTTGCAGGTCCTGCCACGGTCATGTGGTCTGTAGAATGCTGGTCGGGCACATCTGCTGCAATCTTGAGGATAGCCAGGCTGGGGTGTTGCGAGGGCGATCGTTTTTGATTGCCGGAACGTACTGGGAGGGAACAACCCCGCGTTCGACCGCGCCACGTATCACAAGCCACTTGGTCACGGCTCCCGCCACTTCTAAATAGTAATAATGATAATAAGCGTCAGCTTAAAAGCTTTGCCGAATTCTCTCACACAATAGCACGATGTAGTGAGGGTTCGATCCAATTGAGAGCAGCTTCGACTTTGGAAAAAAACGTGCTCTAATGTTATCGCCGCGCGCCAAATCGTGGTCTTCCCGCCGATTTTTTATTTCATAAAATCGTGGGACGGGGCTTGTTCTTTTCTGGTTGTCGTTGGTTTTCCTTTTCTTCTGTTTCGTTTTTTTGTCGAGAATTTTTGTTTCTGAAGAGGTATTGATTATTTGTGGGAAACTACGCGTTGTTGTTTGTTTTTGTTGATTTTGGAAATTTATCAAATAATTATTGATTTTTTTAAAAAATATAATCTGCTTGGTCCAGCTACATTTGTTTGTTTTGAAGTTATTGGTCGTTTAGTTTCGAGCGTCACTAGTACAGCGGATTAGAGCACGCGCCCCCAGGCAGAGCGAGATGCGGGTTCGAGTCCCGCCTGACGCTAAAGTTTTGCATACCACTTTACATCACGGGGTATATCCGTAACATCATACTACCGCTAAAAGCGGTCATATAAAAAGAATCCGTATTGATCGTTTCCTATTTTAACTGAATGGGAAGTGGTGCGTGAAAGTCAGATACAAGTGATCAAATCGCGATTAAAAATATCATTATTTATCATTGATCATCGCCTATTTATTCCTGCTTACTTATCTGTTTGTTTATTTATTGAAATATGAAGTGTAAAAGAGTTCAGCTATTCTTCAGAGGATGCGAGAAATGTCATATATAAGTGAATAAGTATTGTTCAACACTATTGTAATTATAGGTCCTTTTTTTTTGTTATAATCGAGCGGATGTGGCGCAGTGGTTAGAGGTGCGCTGCGCCGCACACGAGGTCAGTGGTTCGATCTCGCGCTCATGGCTCACCAAGCCATTAATCCCTCCGGGGTCGGTAAATTGGTGCCAGACATATCTCAGACTTGTCTGGGAGGATAAGGAGCACTGACTCGGTTCAGCGGGAGACCACCGCGAGTCATTGTAAGGGCCGATGTGCGTTCCATCACCTCAATGAAGTTAGAAATTGAAGTCGAATGCATGGCGCATCCCTCAGGGATTGATCAACGCCGGGAGCTTTGTCCTTTTACCTTTTTTGATAATAGGGGACAAATGAATAGTCGACTTTCTTCGCTGTACAAGAATTGTTCATCAGAGTGTTAGTAATCATTCGAAAGCCTGAATCTTTGGCTGGAGTCAGACGTAGCCGCTTTCCAAAAATACGCTTTTTTAACGCTATGAAATCCAGAAGAAAATTGTTTCACAGCGACTGTACTTTTTTTCTTATCTCGCTTATATCCTCTGGGTGCAAAGCTTCTTTCTTAGACTGCTAGTACTCTTTCGATAGCACAAGTTTCGAAGAACTCGAAAATATGTTCGCATCTGAAAGAGCTGTTTTGATAGCGCTGTAGGAGAGAGGGAAGATTTGTACTTCAAACCTCGGCGGACAGGGCTCTTTCCTTAGACTATTGAAATCATCCAATAGCGTAAGTTTTTTTTCTTGTGCAGCGAATAAGCTCGAAAATTCGTTTGTTCCCTTATAACCGTAAAGTACCTAGTTATATACTCATATATACTTACAATTACATACTCATTTGTGCTTACTACTTATTTATTGCTTATCCTTCTGAGAACCATGTGGTACGTCTTGTACCAAGCCGCGCGACGTCAAATTTAACTCAGATACTGTAATGGCGGAGCTGCGTCTCGTGGGAATGCAGGCGAGCAGCTAGGCTGCATGCACAGACATGCAGATGCTGCCTGCCTGCGACTGCGCGACGCCGCCTGCCTATCAACGCTGGCCCTCAAAGGTTTATCGGGGAGGGGGCTGTGGCCGAGTGGCTTCTGAGGCTCGATGCGGCCCGGCGGAGGATCCCCATCCTCTCTAACGCTGTCTGACGATCACTAATGCCCTAAGGGACGCCCCAGCCTGGCTATCCTCGAGACTACAAGGAGACGTGCTCGACCGGTATTATACAACGTTCGTCAAGAAGATGAAATCGTCAAGCAATTGAGGAGGCGAATCGAGTGCTTTCCACTACTGTTATTTATTTTTTCTTCATTTAGATTGTTCGTCATTGCAATTTTCTTTGGATCCAGTAGTTCTTGCATCGAACTCGCTAAAGCGTAGTTCCCTCTACTTTTTTCACGTTTTTTCGGTCGCTGCTTGAAGATTTTGAATTTTTGAATGCTGTAGAATGTCGGTCACGACGATTCTTCTTGGCACCTCGGAAGTAGCCAAGCTAAAGCGATCGTTGACTGATTACAAGAGAGTGTTGAGGAGAGGATCGAACCGGAGCCTTCCTTATCACCTCGCTTTTCTGGTGCACCGCATCACTAGCCACTGCCCTAACCTCTATCGTATAATATACTAGCTAGTATCATATTACTTAGTAGTATCATCTAAGTAATAGGAGAAAGTGTTGCTATCTAACCTTTCGCGGACAGCAGCATAATCGATATCGCAAACGACGCACGATTTTCGTTATTTGATAAGGATTTCTTTCTTTGTTTCAAGAAAACCTTAGGTTTTTTTTATTGTTCTGATGAAACATAATTTTCTCTACATGCTCATGATTTTTTTGTGCACATATAACTATTATATGCGAAGAAAACTCTGGATGTAAAACGTAATTTTATTTTCGCTTTTATACCAGACTAGGTAGGTCTGTTCAGAAAGTAGGCCTAGTATTGAAATCGACGAGATTTGAGCTTTCGAATAACTGCTAAAATTCTAAACAAAAAGCTGCCTACAGCGAAAAAGGAACTCTCGAAAGGTCAGAGGTCGAAAAACCCCTCACAGTCCGCAAAGGATTAAGATGGTATAGTGTACCCAATGATGTGAAGTGATATGCAAAGCGTTTGCTCCATGCGGACTTGAACCCGCATTTCACCCAGTCCTAGGCCGCGTGCTCTATCCCTTGCACTACGGGCGCCTGTTGGACACCGCTCTTTTTCCGCTTCAAAGTATCTCTCTGTAGAAAGAGTGGTGTCAAAACAGGCGTCTGTGGTGCAAGGGATGGAGCACGCGCCCCCGGATTGGGTGGAATGCGGGTTCAAGTCCCTTCTGAAGCAAGCGCTTTGCATATCACTCCACATCATTGGATATACTGTAACGTTATACCACCGCTAGAAGCGGTTAAATGGAAAGAATTCAGCTCGATTAAGAAGTTGTTTTCACAATAACAGTTGCAGAGATTTCTTAGTTATTGTGGTGACTAAAAAATAATTTGTTCTGTTGACTACTCTTTGTACACTTGCCCAGTAGGTGGTTGACTCTCTGGAGATATTTTAGAGGTCATGTCCACCCAATCTGTGCGTGAACTTTGATTTCTCCGTTGCTTTTTTTTTGTAAACTCAAAAAAGATACTATGTATTAATAGTACTCTCTTTTCAGGATTTGCAGTTTCATTTGTGACAGAGAAAACAGGTGCTATTTTGTCGAGGTAAATGAAAGAAAAGCTTATGACCTCGGAGGATGCCCTCTACTATGCGTACTCATCATCGGACGCGAACATAATTTGTGGTCTAAGTAGTGTCACGGCAAAAGGCAACGACACTGGTAAGTTCGATTATCAGTTCTTGGATAATACCTTTCAGTCGACTTTTTTGAGACCACGATTGAAATTAAACAGAGTCAGATGTAATGTTCTAAGTCTTCCATGAGGTCTGGTACAACACCTTCAGTGCTAGACGGACGTTTAGCTTTTTCGCAAGCCTCATTGGTAGCACGCGCCACACGGCTCACCCTACTATTACAGGGAATCGACGCAGCATATATCACTCCGCATCAAGTGAAATGAACTTCAAGCGAGGTCATAAAGAATTCGATTGAAAGATATTGTTACATGTGCTCATGCAACTGTCGTACGCCACGCAGTCGACAATTAATCAATCTGAAGGCACACCACTTCAAGTGGCCATCTTACTTGACGAAGGGTGATACATGTTCGGCGTCGAATCACTGTAATAGTAGGGCGAGCCGAATGAGTGTGCTACTGATGAGGCCTGCGAAAAAGCCGAACGTACGTTTAGCACGAGAAGTCCCATACCAGACCTCATGAAAGGCTTACAACATTCTATCAGACTATATCGAGTTTTTGAATAGTTTGCTTAGTTACCGATTCATTCAAAAGTCGACGAAAACCATGAGAGTTCGTTTTCTAAGAATTCCTTTTGCTGCCCTAATAGCAATGTTATGATGTAGTTATGCATCTGAGAGTGTTGAGTGATATGGAAGACATTCGACCTCAACAGAAGTTGAACCCCCATTTCATCTACATCGAGGGCGCTGGCTGCCACTACGCCACAGAGGCCACCACTCTGCTAAGTTTTGCAAATCACTCGGCATCATTGGATATATAACTATCACTTCATAAAGCTACTATTAGAGCGACAAAATATGAAGTTTTCATAAAGTTTCGTTTTGTTTTGAGATCTTCGTAAGCTGGAGATCATACGATATTTGATCACATGATTAACCCTTTGAGGGCCACTATTGATAGGCAGCGACGTCACGCTGTTGGTTGCGCGGCAGTCGCAGACAGGCAACATCCACGCTTCTGTGCAATCATCTCTCGCGTCTGTCGGCCTTCTTACGATGCCATGCCGCCACCACAGTAACTGAGCGAGATTTGACGACGCGCGACTTGGCACGAAATGCACCATGTGGTCCTTAGAGGATTAAGCACATAGTATCTCAAAAACGAGAGCGCATGTGGCGCAGTGGTTAGAGGTGCCCTGCGTCGCACACGAGGTCACTGGTTCGATCTCGCGCTCATGGCTCACAAAGCCATCCATCCCCCCGGGGTCGGTAAATTGGTACCAGGCAGGTCTCAGACTTGTCTGGGAGGATAAGCAGCACTGACTCGGTTCAGCGGGAGGCCACCGCGAGTCATTGTAAAGGCCAGATATGCATTCAATCACCTCAAACGAAGTTAAAAATTGGAGTCGAATGCATGGCGCATCCCTCAGGGATTGATCAACGCCGAGAGCTTTATCCTTTTATCCTTTTATCTTAAAAACGACCATTATTTAGTCCTCCGCGTGAATCATCAATGTATGCGTCAATTATTTTACAGCTTACACGAGGTTGTAGTAAGGTTCCTTCACCCAACTTTTCGACGTCTTCTTTTTCTTCTTCAGAGCCGATTTGAAGGCTTGAATAAAGAAGCTTATATAAGAATTTGACATCGAAAAGTCAGTCGAATAAATCTTGCTGCCAACCTCATGTGAGCTGGGAAGTCTTTGAAGAATACATCCAGTAAATAGCGTCTCAAAGCCGAGACATACAACTATTTGTTTAGCTCCACCCTCCGGCTGTTTTCATGGATTTCGTGAACATTCGCCGTCTCTACAACAGGTCTATGCAAATCCAGTGGTCCGACAACTTTTAATAGAAATGCACATCGTTTTTGAAAAATGTCAACAACTTTCTCGACATGAACCACTCAGTAATGAAGAGTAAGTCGACAGCTTTTGAGCATTGAGTATTTTGCTTTAGTACAAAAAGTCTTTGATCTGTCGCTTTAGTAGCACTGTCCTGAAGTTATAGCTGTCATGTTCAGAAATGTTTAGTGATGTACAAAACTTTCAACCTCGGGCAGGGGTTGAACCCGCCTCTAACCCTTTCCGGGCGGGAAAGTTGTGCACATCGCCAGCTGTATTATAGCTTTTCACGTTTTTTCTCACTCGAGTACACGTTTGAATATGTGACTTTTAGTACTCTTGAAGTTCCATTCAGGACGATTTCAATTTCTCGAGAGTATCGATCTGCACTGCTTCATTGTGCGAATGAGATAGAAGAAGACGAAAATATGTACATCCGAGATTTCACTATTTGGTCTCTCTTCGAGACGATGTTCTTCCAGCGAGGAAGTTTGTATAGTATTCATTCATTCAATTCTTTCTAACGTTTTTCTTTCATCACATGTTTATCAACAAGGCGCTTGTGACGCAGTGGTTAGAGGTGCCCTGCGACGCACACATGGTCAATGGCTCGTTACCGGGCCTCAAGCTTACCAAGCCTTCTAGCCCTCGGGGTTTGGTGAGTTGGTGCTAGGCTTATTTGGGAGGACAGCAGCACTGACTTGATACATTGATGGGCCACCGTGAGTCAGGAGAGGCCAGATATGCATTCAGTCACTTCTGGCGATGTTCAATAAAGTCGCTATATGGCGTATCCCTCAGTGATCGATTAATGCCACAAACTTTATCCTTTTAGATCTTTATGTTTATCGAAGTAAGATTTTTGAACGCTGAGCGTTCTATTTTCAGATACACCAATATGTCTTGACCTAATCTCTTGGGGTATAGACTCATTCATTTTCATTGACAAGGTTGTACAAAAAGCATCCAAAGAATTAGACGAAGGTATCTCGGTTGGCGATGGAAGCTACTGGAGAGCGGTAATATTCATCTGTTCTTTTCTCTCTTGAGCTTTGTGATCCACTGATCACTCAGTTGTTCAGGTTTGCCTTGTATTGATCGGATGTCGTTTCGATATTTGTATCGACTTCCTAGCGCTGTTGAAAGATGATAAGGCTGCTGGTAGATTCAGGAGCTTGTTAAGTTCGTTTGAGTGGAGTTGGTTGATGGATGTAGGGGAGGTAAGGTTTTTACGCAATGTTTTGTCCTTTGCTATGTCTGATTACGTTTCTCTAAGGTGTTTAACTTGGTAGCTTACAAGTGGAATGTCGTTAAGCTTACGTAAAACTCGATTCGTATGTGTTATCTGGCGACTTATGAAGGATCGATCCTTTTCGCTGGAAGAAGAACTTTTCATAGGAGTGATAGCGATCGTTCGAAAGGTGAAATCTCTGGCTACTGCGCTACTTGGCCGTTTTATGAAAGTGCGTTTTTATAACGCTGTAACGTAAAGAAAACTTTTGTCATCCACATATGTGTATTTCTCGCTACCCAGAAATATTCCTGAATTATGAGAACCGTCCGATAGCGTAGATTTCGACTAATGCGTTTCTGTGATTATTTCCTGGAAAGACCGTTTCACCTGCAGTGTAGCAACGAAAATAGGATTGGGTTTCACATACGCGGCGCATCTATTTGTTGGCTTGTGTGTGTAGCAGAGGAGAGGAGTGGGGGTGGGGGGGGGGGGGGGAGGGGGATCAGGTCACGGGTACTATACGGCGATCGAGCGATCGCGTTGATGCACCTCACATGTGGGTGCAATTTTTGTCATTTAAATCCATATTTTTTTCTCCTGTTTGGGAGAAGTTTCAGACATAACATATAACTCTGATAATGCGAGGTTTGATCTACACTTGATATGCTTTTCGTACTTTCAGGAAAATAGTGTTAGGAACGCGTAGTGTTGTGAAATATAACTTCATTTTGAACGCTACAGTGTCATAATAGGGTCTTTACAAAGAACGACCACGTAGCGCATTAGCCAGTGATTTAGCTTTCAAATGATCACTTTCAAAGAGCAATGAAAAGTTCTTATCCAGCGGAAGGGTTTGTTTCTCCAATTGTTGTTAGATAACATATAAGAACCAGAAATTCTCTATATTTTTCTCGTGTATTTTTTCATAGGGATGAAAGAATAATCAACCTTGTTGATTCCTCTTTCTTCAAAGCGTAGTAGGCGAAGTTCGCATCATTACAAATGAAAGAGTAAAAGAGGATAGAGCTCTCGGTGTTGATCAATCTCCTGAGGGATGCGCCATGCATTCGTCTTCAATTTTCAGCCTTATTTAAGGTCACTGAATTCATATCTGGCTTTTACTATTAATCTCGATGGCCTAGCGATGTATCAGCTTAGTGTTGCTGTCCTTCCAGGACAAGTGTGGTACCACTTCATTGACCCTAGAAGGTCGGATGACTTGGTGAGCCTTCGGCGCCGACTGATCCATCGATTAATTGACTACGTGTGTGTCACAGAACACCTCTAACAACTGCGCCAAGCACGCTCCTCACTACAAATACATGTCTGATAATGACACTTTGGTTTTCTGACGAGACAAACAATTTTTGTCATTCTCGTCCAGACTATGAGGTACCATCAAGAATTCAAATTCGTTCGTATTTCTTTTTTTATCTCTATAAGAATCACCTGT